CCGGCAGCATATTTCACACCCGCGCCCCCCCGCCGCCGCCACCCTGACGCACCACATCCGATCACTGACGCCGGGAGAGCAGGGCGCGGGTCTCACCGGGCGGGCGGTGGCGGCAGGAGGGGGGTGGCTGCAGGAGGAGCAAGCACAGGGCCCCTGGGACAGAGGTTTGGGGGCTTCCGGGAGCCTCGGGGAGGGCCAGGGACGGGCCTGGGGGGGCTCCCTCACCGCCCCCGCCTGCCTCTGTGCACATCAGCTAAGACAGCCGCGACTGTCGGTGCGGGTTCGGCTGGGCCAGGGCGTGGTCTCCGGGGGCGTGGTCTCCTGGGGGCGTGGTCTCGGTGACGGGCGAACCAGCGTGTTCTAACAGGTTCAGCAGCTGGGGTCTGGGGTCACAGGACTGGAGCTCCCCTTTCTTGTCCCCTGACTACTTCTGTCCCCTGGCAACTCCCCCACCCCGAGAGGGTTTGCAGCTTCCCTGGGACTCCTGGACCCCGCTGACCCCCAGACGGGGGCCCGCCACAGCCCCGGCCAGCCCTCTCTCTCTGAGCCAGTGTGTGTATGTGCGTGGGGGGGTGGGTTTGGGAGTTGGTGGTACCAGTGAGGGTGCGGAGAGGGAGTGGGGCGCGGGGAAAGGTCAGTCCCTAAGGCGCCTACACAGGGACCCTGTCCCCACCTCTCCGAGCCCCTCAGGAAAGGGGCCCTGGAGTGGCCAAACCTCGTTCCTTACCCGGGGCCGGCTCCAGCTGTAGCGCTCTGCAAATATTAATTACACATTCCCCGGGGGGGGGGCAAGCAGACGGGTGTGGGGGCAGCGGGGGGCAGGCAGGATGGGCTGGGACCTCGGGGCCTTCCCAGGTTCAGAAGTACCACCCAAGGGAGTGGGGGGGGGGTGGGGGGCGTCGGTCTGAGTCACCGAGACCCTCCGGAGAAGCACAGCAGTGCGGGGGGTGGGGGGATGGGGGGACACTTGGGGACAAGGAGCTCCCAGTCCCGGGGCCCTGCTCTCTGTAGACATCGCTCAGCAGTCCGGGGACGGCGGGGCGGGGGGTGGGGTGCGGCCCCAGGGAGGCTCCTTCTGGCAGGGCCGGGCCTGCACCTCTGCCCTGGTACCTCTGTCCCACCCCACCGCCACCCAGGACTGGCTCATGGGGCCCCCGGGTGGGACTGGCTGGTGGAGACTGTCGGCCAGGACCTTGGTCTCCCCCTGTGTATGGCAGGGCCCGAGGGTAAGCAGAAGCCGGGCGAAGGCCCTCACAGGGGCTGAGGTGGCCAGGGATGTGGGCAGGGCACCAGGCCATTTCTGCCACAACCTGCAGGCCAAGTTTGGGGGGGCTGTTGTCGTGGACTGAGGACGACCCTTGTAAGTCCAGACTTGGCTTGAGCCTCCCCAGAGGGCGGCCCGTGGCCCCCAGGTGTGGCCGTCCCAGGTCTCCGCTCCTAGCGCAGCTCTGGCCAGGCAGCCTTCCCTCACCTCCGCCCCCCGCCCCCGGACAGAGGGTCTTCTAGCCCTTCTGGGTCGCCCCCCAAGGACGGCGTCTCCTGCAGGTCAGGAGCCCATCGCAGGGCTGCTGTTCCTGACCAGCACTGGTCCTTCCTCGTGTCTGACTGCGGCCTCTCCTGCTTTGCCTTCCCACAAGGTCTACAGAGGTGTCACCCTTCTGCCCTGGACACCCCGTCGGGAGGGGGTAGTCCCCTGGCTGTACCCAGCGAAGTGACCTGGGCTTCAGAGACAGCCAGTCTCCCCACCCTCCCCCGTGCACCCCCAGGCAGGCACCTGATGAATTATTCATCCTGATCCGTCTCATTATGTAAATGAGCCTGGAGCCCAAGCATATGCTCTGTGCTCTCCCCCCCAGGATGGGGACAATATGGCGCTGACAGGGGAGGGGAGCGGAGGGGCTCGGGGGGCTTGGGAGACCTCGCTCAGCCTCCAGGGGCTCTGCACGGGGCAGGCTGTTCATGGCAAGAGCACTGAGGGCCAGGGGCAGGTGAGGCTGGTTATGGGCTGGCGGCGGGGGGGCGGGGGACATGGCTCGGGATAGTCTAAGGATGGGGGTGGGAATGGCACCTGAGCACCAGGCCACAGAGGGAGCTCCCACTATGTGCTGGCCCTGGAGTTACACGAGGACATGTGGTGGGGTCTTCACAGTCGAGATGTGCCACGGCCCCCGACCCGTGAAGGGCCACAGGCTGCAGGCAGCCACGCCCCCACGGGTTCGTGGTGGGGCCGGGAGGAGGACCGGGCCCAGGCAGGGGGAACGCTCCCCAATGCCACCGTCTGCAGTTTCTGAGCCCTTGCAGCTGCCAGCTCTTGCGGTGTCCAGCTTCTGGGGGCGGGGCCGCCTCTGGGACTGGGACAGGTGGAAAGGGCAGCCGCTTAGGGGATGAAGGCCGGGGTGGACCGGAGTCCAGGACCAGCCCAGCTGCAAGGGGTTTGAGGCACCTCGGAATGAGCTCAGGGCAGCCTGGGGAGGGGGGCTGGCCCCCGCAGGAGAGCCGGTGCCCGGGCCCGTGGGAGCACACACAGCTGGGTCAGGGCTCTGCAGCAACCTCCCCCCGACCGTCGGAGTGGGGCGTGGGCTGGGCACACGGCCCCCCCCCCAGTGCCCTGGACAGGGGCCTCAGCGGCTGGGCCTGGGGCCCGGGTGGGAGCCGACTGGTGGGGTCAGCCCTTCAGCTCACCCAGGGCTACCCAGCGAAGGATAGCCCTACCCAGAGGCCTGCGTGACCACGGCCTCTGCTGGGCGGGCAGGGGTGGGGAAAGATGCACTCATGGACGAAAGATACCCTCCCCCTCTAGGACTCTTCACCGGCTCCCCGGCCGCCCACCTCACCGGAGGGCCCTGGGCCAAGCAGCGGCCCAGAGCTGTCAGAGGGAAGGAAGAGGCTGAGGAAGCAGGTGAGAAGAAACTGGAGCAGGACAGAGGGCCACCGGGGAGCTGGCAGCGGTCCGCAGGCACAGGGGTGCCAGGAGGAGCCGGGAACGCAGGGTCAGCATTTCTCCGCTGGCTGCCGGGCCCGCCACAGCCACACCCCGCGTGGCCCCCGCTCTGGCCCGGCTCCGCTTCCCCAGGCTCACCCTGTCCGCCTCCCTGAGAGCAGGGGCGTTGGCAGAGGCGCCCCCTGGAACAGGGGTTGGGAGCCTGGGCCCCACCACAGCCCTGCCGCAGCCAGCTGCATGACCATGGCCTCCGCTGGGCGGGTGGGGGCGGGGAAAGATGTGCTCATGGACGAGAAGTGTCTGGAACTGCTCAACCGCCCTCGGAAAGGACAAGGAGAGCACCTCCTAGGAGCGGACGTGATCGGTGAGGGGGTTCAAACCCGACTTCTAAAAACGAGCATCAGTCTGTCCGCAGCCGTCTTCGCCACCTCCTCCTCCAGCCAGGCCTCCCGGCCACGCCGGGGGTCAAGGATGAGGGGCGGAGGAGAGCCCAGGAGCGCACAGTGGGTCTGCTGAGCTAGGAATCCACCTTGAGCTCCCTCAGACAGAGCTGAACCTCAGGCAGGAGCTGCGTGCGTTGCCCTCTTACCGGCAGACCTCCCGGGTCTGCGCTGCCCGTGACTGTGAACTCACGGTGTCCCCCAGGTGCGGATTCAAAGCGCGGAGGGTTCTGGGCTGGAGGAGCGCGGCTCGCCCCTCACACGGGACACGCTTCTGTCCCGACGTGAGACTTGGAAGGGCACACGACACGCCACCCAAGGGGAGCCCCATTTCCTCACGGCCCCTCAACGCCGCACCTGGCGGTGCCCACTTAACCCAGTTCGTGCTAGGTGCCATCCCCAAGCATCGACCAACTCTGTTCCAGAACGGCTTCTCCTGCAGCACCTTCTCGGAACGCCCTGCCGGCCTCCGAGCGCAGCGCGGCTGAGTCACCGGGAGTTCACAGGAAGAGAGTGGGATGGGGTTACCGCAACCCAAGCCCAACAAGGGGGCGGGGGGTTCAGGGCCGAGGCCACTGGGGGGGTGGGGGGCGCACCCAGTGTGGGGGTGGCTCTGACCTCCAGGCCAGACTCTCCCGGCCACATGACCGCCTCGCCGGACACCCAGAGGAGCCCCATCCTGGGCAAAGGCCCAGCATCCACAGCCCGTGCCACGGCCACCCCATTTCCTGGGCACCCGCTGCTGACTGAGCATGGTTTAAGGACCAAGGACAACACCCCCTGGGGTCGCTGCCCCACGGAGGTTCCGTCTGCCGGCCTGGCCCTGACCGAGAGGGAGGACAGGGACACGGGGGGAGTGTCTCGTCACTGAGCCCAGGCCGGGACTCTCCAACAGCAACTCCATTCACTCTGCTGTTCCCGGGACAACCATGGGCAGGGGACGCCTGTCAGTCCCCGGCCGGCCCCCGGCCCCCGGCCCCCAGCCCCCGGCCCCCAGCCCCTGCCAGGACGCAGCTCTCTGAGCCTCTGCGTTTTCCCCTAAAAAGTGATGGCTCGGGAGACGGACAGAGACACATTTGCAGCCTTCTGGGGGTGACGGATGGCCTGCTCTTCACATCACTGTTTCGAACATTAACATAATCTCCCAGGATGAATGTGGCCAATCCATCGGATCAATCAATCACCCCTCCTGCCCCTTGACCCCTCACCTCGCCCAGTGCCCTCAAAAGGGCTTTCAGCTCATCGCATCCAACAGGCCAGGAGCGGGCAGCACTGCTCCCCGGAGTCCTGTGGCCTGGGCACCCCCCCTCGCTCTCGGACAGTCTCTCTGGCTCATGCACACAGCTGCCTCAGTGGGACCTTCCAGGGCCTGGCCTCCCGCCCCAGACGCCGCCTCGAACCCTGACCTCACCCACCTGACCGCCCGCAGCGCCTGACCCCAGGGCTGACCCGGTACCACTACTGCGCAGTCACCGGGGGCCAAGCCCCAAAACAGCCACGTCCCCGCCTGCCCCCGAGGGTCCGGCTGTGTGTGTTTTACCACCAAACCGTCCTCACTCCTCCAATCCCACGTGGAAGAGGGTCTGGGAAGGGAAAGCCGGGGGCGGCGGTGGGCTTACCTCCCGGAGCTGCTGGACGCCCCCAAAGATCCGCATCACGCCGTCGATCTCCTGCTCCAGGCGCCGCGCCCAGTGCTGCATCCTGCGTGCAGAGAGCAGAGAGGGGTCAGGAGGGCCCGCCTGGTGCTGGAACAGCCCAGCCCGGCACCCAGGGGTGCCCAGTACCAGCCACCCCTTCAGAAACCAGAGTGTGCCTGCGATTCCTTTGAAACCCAGGCCCGGAGGCCCAGGCACTGGCGGACAGCGGCGGGGGGTGGAGAGCGGACCGAGGTTTAAATGCACAGAGCGAGTCCGGCAGCTCCAGGGGCTGCAGGGACACTACTCACGGGGAAGAGCCAGCCCTTGCTGCCGCCGCTCTGAATACGGGGACTCTGGGCACCGGGGAGGAGGGGCGCTCGAGGGAGCCAGGGGGTGCCTGCTGGATCTAGGAGCCTCCTGGCCCCAAGGCTGGCTGAGGTCTGGGGAAAGGGGAGGGAACATGGGGGGCTGCGGCTACCCCCATGTCATGGTGTAACCCGGGGCCGGCACCGTCCTCTCTGGGCACCTCCTGAGCAGGGGCGTGGAGATCTATCTCCTGGCACAGACAGCCTTCGCCCTCCTGCTGCATCCTGGGAAACACACGCTTACCGGAGGCCCCTTGCTGCACACCCACCCCGAGCCACCCACCCGTGGGGCTGGTTAAGACCATCTCACCCCTTTCCGGGAACCTGGCAGACCCCATGTTCCTTCGCCCTAGCCACCAGCCTGAGCAGGCCTCCTTCGCACGGGTGCCACCTCAGGGGGCAGGAGAAGGACACACGAGAACAGGCGGGTCCGGGGTGCTGCTGCCCAGGGGTCCCCAGTGTGGACAGGATGTATGGGCGGTCGCATGGCCCGGTGTTCTCAGCCCACACCCATGAACAGGGGCGGGATCTGGGGAGAGGCCTGGCCCGGGCCCTAACCTGTGCCCCTCGTCCAGGCAGTGCCAGGTCAGGTGGGCCAGGGGGCGGCAGCCAGAGAGACACCGCCACACCGCCTCCGGTGCTTCCGCTGTGGCCGGGCCCCCTCGCCCTGATGCAGCGGAAGAGGCAGCCCAGCCTCCCGATCCCACAGACACAGGGGGGCTCACGGAGAAGTACCACAAAGAGTTAAATATGCCGAGGGTCCAGGGAGGGGCCTGGTGCCAGCCCCCAGCCTCCGGAGAGTCACCCCGGAGCCACGGGATCTGGGAGACCGCATCTGGCCCCAGCGCCAGCCCCGGGCCTGCTACCTCTCTGCGTCCCCCCAGCGCCACGGGTGCCAGGACCCTTCCAGCTCTGTGGGTCAGCGGGGCTTGCTGCTCCCCACACCTCTCCTCAGGCCGCGGTGGGGGCGGGGCCTGTGCCTCCTTGTGTGCCCGGGGCGGTTGGCATGGGAACTCAGAGCAGGAGGCGGGCGGATCACTAATTGCAATTTGCCAAGCTGAATGTCAGGGCCATGATGAAAAAAAAAATCAACATCAAAAGAGGTATTAACTCCAGCTTGTTGCTGGCTGAGCCACGGCCTGACGCCCACCTCCGCTCCCCACCCCGGGGACACTGACCCCGAGCCCGGACGGAGGCCAATCGGGCCCCGACCGCCAGCTGCGGGAGGGCGAGGCCGGGGCAGTGGAGAGCCCGTTCGGCCCTGGCTCCCGGACACCCGGTGCCGACGGCTCGGCCCTGGCTACGGGCGGACAGGGTGGCGGGCGGCTGATCTGTGCTCCTGAGAGAGAGCGAGGGGTAACGTCGAGATGGGCGGCTGCACAGTCCTGTGTCCAGCTGGGCAGGTAGCCTGGGAATGGGTGAGGTCAAGGAGCCGATCTTCGCAGGGAACCATTAACTCTGCCCTGGCCCTGACCCTGACCCTGACCTCAGCCACTCACCGGTCTAGGGGACAGAAAGCTAATCGTAATCCTTCCCAAGACTATGGTGGACCAGTGCGCACCCAGGACGTACAGACAAGGTGTGGTGCCAGCATGTCACCTGCTGTCTTGCTTTAATCCTCACAAAGAAGATGAGGAAACTGAGGCAGAGAGGCGTTAGGTGACCTGCCCGAGGTCACCCGCGCAGGAAGTGGTAATACACACAGAGCTGGAGCCAGCAGGGGGGACAGCGCGTCCCTCTCGCAACCACGCATCCAGGGTCACCCCCTGGGAGCTGGCGACCGCCCCAGCGGGAGTGTTTCTAAGCTGGCAGACGCCCTCTGTTCCCCAAGAGCGAGCTGCGAACAGCCACCGGCGCGGCCCTGACCCAGTCCGGCGGCGGGCGCTGTCCCGGTGTGTCTTTAGGCCTCCGGTTCCGGGGTTTCACCGAGAAGCAAAGCACCGCTAATGAGGAGAACAGGTGTGGAGGCCAGGTCTTTATTTTGCTCAGACAACGCATTATTGTTATTATCATCATCATCATTTCATTTTTTTCAAAAAAGGCTATTTTAACTCTAAAACGTGTTTTCAGAAGAGCCAAATCTCAAGGATAAACTCCAGTTCCTCCCCAAAACATGCCCTCTCTCTCCCGCCATGCGTCCCTGCCTTCTGCACCCGCACCCCCCGGCCCCGGGCATGCGCACACCCACCGCCTCCCCACTGCCACCCAAAGGCTGAGCAGCTCTCCACTCTGGTCTGGGCTGCGGGGACCGGCCCACCCACGACACACACACCCTGCTGAGGTCGAGGGGTGGCCCCGGCCCTTGGCCTGGTGCACGGGGGCCCGAGGGGGAGACGCGAGGCCCTGCTGCACTGCCGGAGACCCGCACGCCCGGCACGCTTGTCTGGTTATTCACCCGCCCCAAACCGGGTCAGGAGGGTGATACGGGTGCCTAGAACACCAGAGGCCCTTCATCTCGTCTTCGCAGAGAGGAGGTTGTGGGTACTGTGGGTTCCGGGTCGGGCTGGCGGATCAGCACCGGCTCCAGGGGGGGTGACACAGGGGACGGAGGAGGCCAGGAGTCAACTGCACACCTGCGGCGTCCTGCCCGGAGCTGGAGACGCCGCCCACCCGCTGACGCTGACCTGGCAGGCACACGCCTGCGCCCCAGCGGGAGGGCTCGGGGGCTCTGGAAGGCCCCACAGCCCCATGGGCTCACAGGCAAAGGGACCAGATCCTGCCTGGGCTTCCACCAGCCTGGGCCCCAGTGCCTGGCTCTGCCAGTGCCTTCCTGGTCAGTCAGTGGGGCCCACGGGCCAGCCTCCCGACGGGCAGACCCACCTGCTAGCCTCCCGCACCCCCGTAACTTTCCATTCCCTTCACGGAGATGACGCTGCTCATCTCCAAGTGTCTCTGAGTGCCGAATTAGCGAGTCGGCGAGGAGAGAGTGTCTGGGAAGAGGCATGTGCAGCCGGGGCTGCAGCCAGCTCGGTGGCCGCTGCAGGCGCCGGAAGCTGGGGACGCAGCCAAGCGCCGCCAGGCCCTCCGACGTGCCTGACCCCGGGGCGGGGGGGGAGTCGAGGCACTGTGCCCCTGTTTCCCAAATAAAACGGAGGCCACCGGCAAGGCCGGGTGCAGGCAGGGCCACAGGGGACGGAGAAGCTGGACCCACGCCCCCACGGTCCCCACGGCCCCACGGGCCCACGCTCCCAGGACGGTGAGCCTCCAGGAAATCCGCTTCCGCCGGCCGCATGACCTTGGAGAGTTCTGCCCCACGGGACCCTCCGCTTTCCTGGCTGTGAACGGGGGTACTAATGAGTGGCCCAATAACGGCCAAATCCACATGGCAACCTTGATGGGCAGTATTATTACTGGGCAGTTCCCTGAGGGGTAGACGCTCCCCCAATCCGCCCACCCCCAGCACTCAGGGAATCTCCCATGAGTGCCTGCCCGTGGGGGGAGCAGGTGCGGAGGGAGGGGGTTCGAGGGAGGAGTCCTTAGTGGCTCCCTTCAATGCCCCGAGCTGAGAGCAGCCGGGGCTGCCCCGGACAAAGGTGCCCACGGCCCAGGACCTGGATGGGCAGGAGGAGGGCAGCCCGGCAGGACGAAGCTGACGCCGTGCTGGGCTGCGGGACGCCAGGCCTTATTCTGCAGGGCAAGGTCGGAACCAGGGTGTGAGGAAGGAGGCGGCGTCACCCTCAGGCCAGGTGTGGGGTGAGGGTCTGGGGCTGCGGACCCCCTTCAGCCACAGAACCCCCCCAGCCGGAGGGCCGGGAGGGCCGGGGGGTCGGGTCAAACCGCAGAGCAGTCGGCTGGGGGCCTCCGCTCTGAAGCCCGTGACACAGGCCCCCCCCCACCCTGGAGGGGGGTGAGGCACGGTCAGGGGCGGGGGGAGGGGGCAGGAGAAGACTGGAGAGGAGGAGGAGGGGAGGAGAGGGGGAGGGGAGAGAAGGGCAGAGAGGGAGGGGGGCGGGGAGAGCCAGCGTGCAGATGCAGCCGCACAGATTAAACTGTTGCCAGTTGTTAATTTTATACATGAAGTTGTTGATCAGAATGTGATTTAATTGTACAGTATAATCCAGGATTTTGGAATAAATTATGCAGAAAACTCATCTATAATTAAACAAATCAAAAACCCAGAGACAGGTGACACGGCAGGTTCACCCTCAGAGGGCACGGGCGGGGGCGGGTGGCCGGACCCTGCAGAGGGGCAGGAGCGGAGGGCAGCGGGCAGGGGCGGCCGGCCCCGGGGGAAGTGGAGGCCTAGCAGGTCGGGGCCCTGGGACCCCCCTCCTGGCCTCCACAGGCCTTCTCCCCGCTCCCAGGGAGGCGTGTCCTGCCATCCGAGCCCTGCTGCAGGCTGCCTCTACCAGGCAGGCTGCCTAGAGAAACCCCGTTCCCTGGGGGCTTGGGAGGCTCCCCTCCAGCAGAGGGTAGAACAGCAGGCGCAGGGAGGGGTGGGTGGCGGGACATCGCGGGGCTGGGGCAGGCGCGGAGTGTGGGGAGCGGGCTGCCGAGGGCGCCGTGAGCCACACCTGGCCACGGTGGGAGCCCACGGCCCCCTGCTCCTCCTGTGGCAGGCCTGCCGACTCCTCTCCCAGCTCTGGGGGAGGCGACAAGTTACAACAAACTGCGCTTTAATTACTCTGATTACATTTCAGCTGCCCAGCCGCCTCCCACCTCGGTGCCTTCCAAAGAGGAAAGAAGCAGAGGCAGGGCA